CCAGTAACCCAGTTACCCAATAACTAAGTAACCCAGTTGCCCAATAACTAAGTAACCAAGAAAACAAGTAACTAAGTAACCAAAGTAATTCAGTAACCAAGTAACGAAGTAAGTCAATAGCCCAATAACTCAATAACCAAGTAACACAGTTACTCAAATACCAAGTAACAAAATAACCCAGTAACCGAGTAATCCAGTAACAAAGTAACCGAGTAACCCAGTAACCTAGTAACTTGGTAACAGAATAACCTAGTAACTCGTTAACCTAGTAACTCGTTAACCAAGTAACCGAGTAACCCTTGAACCAAGTGATTAATTAACAGAGTATCTAAGTACGTCACTAAAAGCCAAGTAAAAAAGTTTTTTAAAAAAGTAACCATAAATCGGTAAACCCTGTAACCGAATAACCCAGTAACCTGAAACTCGGTAACAAAGTAACCCATGATAATTCAGTAACCTATTAACTCAGTAACCTAGTAACTCAGTAACCTAGTAACTCAGTAACCTATTAACTCAGTAACCTAGTAATTCAGTAACCTAGTAACTTAGTAACCTAGTAACTCAGTAACCTAGTAACTCAGTGACCTAGTAACTCAGTAACCTAGTAACTCAGTGACCTAGTAACTCAGTAACCTAATAACTTAGAAACCAAGAAGCCAAGTAACCAAGTAACCATGTAACCAAGTAATCAAGTGACTAAACAACCAAGTAACCAGGTAACAAAGTAACCTAGTAACCAATTAACCAAGTAACCAAGCAACCAAGAAACCAACAAGAAGTAATTATGAAACCAAGTAACCAAGTAACCAAGTAACTCAGGAACCAAGTAATCCTGTTACCCAAAATTTGTGACCAAATAACCAAATTAACAAACTACCATAATATTTATGAAATAGCTGATTAACCAAGTAATTGAAAAATCAAATAATAAACCAACCCAGTGACCAAGTAACCAAATAAGAAAACAAGTAACAACGTAACCAAGTAACCAAATATCCCAGTAACTCAGTTAGTAACCCAGTAACCCAGTAGCCCAGTATCCAGGTAACCAAGTACCTAAGTAAGTTGTAACTAAATAACCAAATAAACGTAATAACCTAACATTTATGCAATGAAGCAACCCAGTAACTGAGTAACCCATTAATCCAGGAACTAAGTTATTCTGTAATCTAGTAACCCAGTGAAACATTAACCAAGGAACTTATTAATTTTCCGAATTTTTAAATCGTATAAGTGCACCTTGGAACCTTGGATATGAAAATCTAAGAAAACTAATGGTTGAAAATTAATGGTTTCGTGCCATTTTATTGTACCCTACCCGACTGAATGGTGTATCTTTAAAAGACTTTTCACTTTTACGTTTTTATGTAAATATTCATATTTGCAGTTTTAATCTGTATAAACCCTCCTCTTTCTCGGCCGGCTCTATTCATTTTGTAAATTGTATATTTTCCTCAAAATATAAAAAGAATTCACGATTCAACAAAATACGTAGAAAATTGAATCAATTAAACGCAATTCATGCAGAAATTAAATTCAGGATGATGTAGGTATATAATATTAAAGAGAGGGAGAGGGGAGAAATATCAACGTTTGAAACCATCCATCCGGAAAAATAACAAATGCATAACTTATGAAAATAATGTTATTTCTTTTCATTAAAAAGTATGTATTCCCGTTGCCAGAAAACCGCTATAAAAGGTACATTGGTTTCAAACTGGCTCAATATAATTTATTTTCAGATAAAAATTTAGGATATCTCTAAGTCATCCTTGATCCTTGGTTTAATGCTTACCATTTTACGAATCAACATTATTAATAGAGGGTTACTAAAATTTCGTCTACAGTAGGGTTTGCAACGAACGAAGCGTTTCGCTAAAATTTTTGTTCGCATTTTGCAAAATTTTTCGCGAAATTTTTCATATATTTTCGCGAAAATTAATGAAGCGAAAAAAAGCTAAATGTGAAAATTTCTTGAAAATATTTTTTGTGGAAATAAAATTCCACGACAACCGTACGTGTTTTAGCTGCAACAATTAATTGTGCAAAACAACTATAAGTGGAATTCTCTGCTCTGATAACTCAATATTTGAAGTTTTATTATGTCATATTAATAATTTCTCTTCCTTTACTTTAATAAATGTTTGATGAAGAGAATTATGATCTTTTTAAGTATCCGTCCACATACGTTCACACATGACTATGAGCCAGCCAATTACAAGAAATTTTCGCATTATTTTTTCGCAAAATTTTTGCATATTTGTTTCGCGAAATTTTCGAATTATTTCGCAAAATTTTGACGTTTTCTGTTTCGCGAAAATTTCGCATTTTTCCGCGTAACAGATAAAAGCGAAATTTCACGAAAAAAAAATTTTTTTACGCGAAACGTTTTTTCTTTTTTGCTGCAAACTTTCTTTTAACTATTAGAAAGAAACACAGGAGACAGGTATCAGGTCTAGAATTACACTTACTAGTATATGATTAAGTTGAGCTAGAAGTTTAACAGCTAATTGGTTTAGATGAACGAGCTTTAAAAAACTCCTCCTCTCCGCTTCATTTCTAAAAATGTTAATTATTAACAAAGGATAAATATATGAGAGAGTGTAGCTGTACACACTTACAAGCCCGTAACCAGGATTTTCCCAAGGGGGTGCAAAGAGTACGGGCCCAGGATCACCGAGTGATACGTAGTAACGAGGCGGGGGGGGGGGGGGCAAAACATTGGTATATAGGCCTTTTGGATTATGTTTTTAACAAATTCGTATTTTTTAATTTTCATGTTTTTTACAAATTACAATTTTTAGCGACTAGTAATTGATACAAGTTTATAATGCTGATAATCATTTCTTATTCACTTTATTTAACTGTGTTGCCTTTTGGATTTTAAATATCTAGATTCGAGGTTTTTGGGAATTTAGAAAAATCGATTTAACTTTTATAAATAAACAGAATGTTTATTTTTTTAATAATCGCTAATTTATTTTAAGAATGAATTCAGACTGAATTTATGAATCCAGAGTACTGGATTCACTGGATGGAAGTATTATTTATCTATCTTTTGTCTCAATCCTGATTTTCAGAAATTAATAGAAAATGTTAAGTAGAGAAGAGAAATTATAAAAACACCCTAGCTTTTAAATGGAATATTTTAAGTTTAAAAACAAGTTTGAATATCCTATTCATGATTGCAACAATTTCACTTTCTTTTACAACTATTAATTTTTACATGATGAAATAAACAGAAAATTCAAGCTCTTTTCACAGTACTTTAATTTTACATTGTTTATATATATTTACGAGTTTAAGACAAACAAAAAATACCATTGTTTTGAAGATGGTTTATTGTGTATTTCTGAATTGTGATCTGTATATTTGGATCCGTACAATTTACAAAACCATTAATTTTTCTTCGACATATTTTCAACATAATATTAAAAACTCATCAATTATGTGGAATTTACATAGATATTTCATCATTCTTTTTATTATCACATATCCAACTCTCTGAAGTATACAGGGTTGCCCACAAAATATGAGATTTATAAAGTTTTGGGGCCACTGCACTGCACTGCACTGCACTTCACTGCACTGCACTGTACTGCACTGCACTTCACTGCACTGCACTGCGCTGCACTGCACTGCACTGCACTTCACTGCACTACACTGCACTGCACTGCACTGCACTGCACTGCACTGAAGGTAATTAATGAAGTATATTCTATCTTTATTATTCCCGTCATCTGTACTAATTTTTTTTTAAATTATTAAACTTACATTTAAAAGATTTTGTAAGGTATAGAATTCCAAGAGAATTGAGTTTTTGCCATAAATTCAAATTTTCTAATCCCTATATCTGTGCAACCAGTGTTCGAATTTAATGAATTTAAGCTGCGTCTCAAATCCCCCAAAAACCGGTTTCAATTGAGCGCCGGCTTAAATCTTGAAAACCAACCAAATTTGAGCCGTGGCTTGGAATTAAACCGCGGCTCAAATTCTTTAAATTTGGCCTCAGATGGTGTAAACCTTTGATTTTTAAAGTTTAGATTATTTGAACTACTAGAAATCATAGCTGGAAATATCCTAGGTCCACGACTATAAATTAGAAAATTTGAGCTTGTAGTAAAGACTCAAATCCTTTAACCTTCAGATCGTCATATCGTCATAAACGCTTTTAGTCCCATCCCTACATCTACTCTAGGCTCCAGTGTTTACAACTGTGTGTCATAAAAAGATGTGATAGTACATATGTAAAATTGTGAGAATTTAAAGTTGATATTTGTTAGGGTCAAAGATATTTCAAGCTTATCGTTTACAAGGTTAGACAGGGTGTCGCCGAAAAAAACAGTTCAAACATATTTTTTGATACACATACATATTTTGGCCTGTCCTTTGATTTGTTGCATGATTTGTTACAGTTACTACATTTTTGTGACACCCCATAAATCATCAGGAAACTTATACACAACTTATTCGACAAATATCGTGTAAACCTTACTTGAAACTTAGAACCTTGAAGAAAAAGAGTCCTTCAGACCTGCAGATCTTTCCTGTTTCTGTATGTCTATATTTATGAGAATTCTTCTGTGTCGAATTACAATCAATTTATTTCGTCTGGTATCGCTTATAATAAATTCATTCATGTTATTTTTAAAACTTAATTAAACATCTTTTAAAAACTCCATACTTTTTAGAGAGTCTGTGTTTTATTTATTTTTTAATACTAATCACATGACATATCCGTATGAAGAAAAGTTAATTATTAATTTTGATAAATAGATAACAAATGTTCGCCGGTTTTAAACTGTTTTGTCAAAAGCTGATGAAAATTTAAAACAATTTTTAATAAAAGGAATTGGTTCCAATTATTTATCCACATTTTTTCAGAATCGTAGATTACTGCAGTCTCTTTTTCATTCTGTGAAACATGTTTGAATTCAACTTAAAGAACTTAGGTCCAAAAAAGTTATAAAACTTATTTACTAACATTGATTGTTGTCTGAATGAGCTGGAACCAGAACTGGAACTTGAACCAGGAGGAAAAGAAGGTCTTGATACAGTTAGGCAATTGCTTATTACTCTTCTCAACTCATCTCCTTAGAATTATAAAAATGAAATTTTTTTCATTTATTTAAAATATATCAACAAGAAGGGCTTCCAGTAGAAGAGAAAGCTCTAGTTTATGGTACTGCAGAAGACGAGCAAACTTTAGTTTATGGTTAACCAGTAGAAGAGCAAACTCTAGTTTATGGTTACCTAGTGGAAGCGCAAACTCTAGTTTATGGTTACCTAGTGGAAGAGCAAACTCTAGTTTATGGTTAACCAGTAGAAGAGCAAACTTTAGTTTATGGTTACCTAGTGGAAGAGCAAACTCTAGTTTATGGTTGGTTAACCAGTAGAAGAGCAAACTCTAGTTTATGGTTACCTAGTGGAAGAGCAAACTCTAGTTTATGATTACCTAGAAGAAGAGCAAACTCTAGTTTATGGTTACCCAGTGGAAGAGCAAACTCCAGTTAATGGTTGGTTAACCAGTAGAAGAGCAAACTATAGTTTATGATTAACCACTAGAAGAGCAAACTATAGTTTATGGTTAACCACTAGAAGAGCAAACTATAGTTTATGGTTAACCACTAGAAGAGCAAACTATAGTTTATGGTTAATCAGTAGAAGAGCAAACTCTAGTTTATGGTTACCTAGTGGAAGAACAAACAATAGTTTATGGTTAACCAGTAGAAGAGCTAACTTTAGTTTATGGTTACCTAGTGGAAGAGCAAACTCTAGTTTATGGTTGGTTAACCAGTAGAAGAGCAAACTCTAGTTTAAGGTTACCTAGTAGAAGAGCAAACTCAACAGTCTTGAGCAAACTTTCGTCGTGTTGGAATGCTTTTGTTTCACTTCTGAATATTTCCTTTATCAACTTGGTTTTGGATGCTAAGGCTCTACCAATCTGAACATCTAATTCGACCAACGTTTCTAGAAAAATAAATGCTTTCAAAGATGTTATGCATGGCGGTATTGTTGATATTGAACAAGTTAAAAAAAAGGACAAACACAATCCAGTTTTTCATCAAACTTTTACTTACAATCCTATGGGAGTTAAACATTTTTTACCTACTTTTCTGATTTCGTTTATTCAACAAATGTTAACTTCATTTTTCATCACACAAATAAACAAAGAAACGATCAATTCTGTTCTTATTGAAATGCATTAATTTTAACAAAATTATCAATATTATAATTATTACATACACAAATATTTGTAAAATTAAACATAATTATATTTCATATCATGACAAACTAAAGACAAAAACATTTTCGCTTAGCCTTCAAAAGTCTCCAAATTTCTACATGAATATTAAGAGGGTGTCCCAAGAAATGTATATTCGTCAAAAAAGATGAAAAATATCAAAATTTCAGGAACTTCCTGTTATTAACTTATTTTTCAATTCTAGTTTACTTTATACATTTCTCTCTTTGTAATAAAATTTTTTGGATTAGCCTGAATAATAAAAAGATATTTTTTTCCACTGTTTCCTTGATGGAAACGTAGTTTCCTGTTTCCTGTATAGTTCCTGCCATCAATCCTTCTTATCCTTCTCTTTACATTCGATACTTTACTTTTAACATCAAACAAACAGACCCACACCAAAACATAAAATGACAAAAATATTATGTAAAAGGGATTATATATGATTTTTTGTGACCCTGTATTCAAAGAGTTTCCGAATACGATAATCTAAGCAAAAGGACATGATGGTAGGAATAAGAAAAACAGGAAAGTAGATGGAGAAAGACAGGAAGATAGGAAGAAGAAAAACAGGAAAGTAGATGGAGAAAGACAGGAAGGTAGGAAGAAAAAAGATGGGCAGGTAGGAAGAAGAAAGACAGGAAGGCAGGAAGAAGAACGACATAAGAGTAGGAAGAAAAATAACAGGATGGTAAGAAGAAGTAAGACAGGAAGCTAGGAAGAAGAAAGACAGGAAGGTAGGAAGAAAAAAGATGGGCAGGTAGGAAGAAGAAAGACAGGGCAGGAAGAAGAACGACATAAGAGTAGGAAGAAAAATAACAGGATGGTAAGAAGAAGTAAGACAGGAAGCTAGGAAGAAGAAAGGCAGGAAGGTAGGAATAAGAAAGACAGGAAGGTTAAAATGGAAGAAAGACAGAAAGGTGGGCAGAAGAAAGACATAAAGGTAGGAAGAAGAATAAAAGGATGGTAGGAAGAAGAAAGACAGGAAGCTAGGAAGAAGAAAGACAGGATGGTAGGAATAAGAAAGAAATGAGGGTAGGAAGAAGGACAGGAAGGTAGGAAGAAGAAAGACAGGAAGGTAGGAAGAAGAAAGACAGAAAGGTAGAGAGCAGAAAGAAAGGAAGGTAGGAAGAAGAAAAACAGGAAGGTAGGAAGAAGAAAGACAGGAAGGCAGGAAGAAGAACGACATAAGAGTAGGAAGAAAAATAACAGGATGGTAAGAAGAAGTAAGACAGGAAGCTAGGAAGAAGAAAGGCAGGAAGGTGGGAATAAGAAAGACAGGAAGGTAAGATGGAGAAAGACAAGAAGGTAGGAAGAAGAAAGACATAAAGGTAGGAAGAAGAATAAAAGGATGGTAGGAAGAAGAAAGACAGGAAGCTATGAAGAAGAAAGACAGGAAGGTAGGAATAAGAAAGAAATGAGGGTAGGAAGAAGGACAGGAAGGTAGGAAGAAGAAAGACATAAAGGTAGGAAGAAGAAAGACAGAAAGGTATAGAGCAGAAAGAAAGGAAGGTAGGAAGAAGAAAGAAAGGAAGGTAGGAAGAAGAAAGAAAGGAAGGTAGTAAGAAGAAAGACAGGAAGCCAGGAAGAAGAAAGACAGGAAGGGTTTAGCTGAGAGTCTTGGATTCTAATTGATAATATCACCTGAAGGACAAGTAATGGTTTCTGGTTGGAAAACTTCTGCTTGAGAAACCACAATACTTGAAGGCTGGATAAACTCCCTATTTAAAGTTCAAGAATCGGAAAGAAATAAAAGAAAATGAATAAAACGACGATCAAGAAAACCATATGAAATCATAGAAAATTAACAAGAAAACCTAGGTAGTAGTTAAAAAAGAACTAAAGTCAGTTAATTTCAATGAAAGAAAAACACTGATATCTAAAATCGCGTGAATATTTTATCTTAGACTTATTAAATATATAATAAATACATTTTCTACTGTGGGAGTAGAAGCAAGGTTATTTCTCATAATTGTGTTGATTGGAAACATACTGGACAAATATTTTGCAATATTTATCCAGACTTTCCACCTGGTTCAGGTTTATATATCTGCATACATGGAGCAATATTCACACCATAGACATATAATATCCTGGGGACAGTTTACGATTTACACATTACCAGGGCGTATGGAGGAGGAGAAGGAGGAGGGGGGGGGGGGGGGCAGGATAATTTATCAATGTATTGACTTATTCCACTCTACTCTCAATATCATGTCCTTACTCTGTACTATGTCTTACACTGGACTCCTTGCCTATTTTTTTGTTATCAAAACAAATCAGAAATGTGGAGATTCCAAGTTTCAGAATGGAGTTTAAAGTCCTGTTGGGTTTTCATCCTGGACTTTTTCTATTGCTACAACGTTTTTTAAACAGGTTCCAGCATTAAAAGTTTGAAGATTTTAAAGTTTGAAGATTTAACCTGTATTATTTTCTTTTTATATACTATCCTCACCCTGTAATTTACTATAAATCTTTTTAATTTACTAATTTTTAACATTTTTACTCTGTATTATTGTTAAAACCATGTTCTTTTTTCTACAGTATTTTGTTACTTTTTGCATATAATTCCCTTGTATACTTTTCTTAACACTACACATATCATATGCAACTGAACTATTACATATCAATAATATATTTATTCTTTGTATAAAGTTGTAATTTCTGTTTGTTTGTCCGATCATAACTCGAAATACGCTTAACCGATTTGCCTCAAATTTGTTATCTAGGAACTCGGTAGAACTACGGAATGTTCTTAGCTTGGTTTAAAGTGTAATTGAATAGGTTGACTCTTATAATTGCCTTGTTCTATTCTTAATACTTTACACATACAGAGCGTCCCATATCATATTAGATTATCTCTAATCTTTAACGACAAAATAAACCCTTAATACTCGAAAAACTTATCATTTTCCGCAAGAAAATTATTATATAAGCCTTATGTTATTTTTCAAATTGATTTATTCTAATTAAATTTTCTTATTAGTCCCGAAAATCGCAATTTAGACCTGTTGACGGTCTAATATGATGTGGGACACCCTGTATCATATCTGAACTATTCCATATCAATAATAAATATTTGACATTCTTATAATTCTCTGTCCTTACTGTTTCACCATTACCCTATATGTTATCTTCAACATTCTAAACCAGATACAGGGTTATAACTTATACCCAAAAGATGAGACTCTAAAGACGACTGTGCAGAATTTGTTCAATGTGTTTTCTAAAATTAAGTTCCCTACATCTGTAAACTGGTTTCTTTCTTTGCCAAATGATTTAAATAATTTAATTTAAGGCAAAAGCCAATGTTTGTTCTTTTAGATCGTAAGATTTAAAGAACCGTTATATCCTTAAATTCTCATTGTTTGTGGGTACCCCTGTAAGGTACTGGCATATAATGTACCCAAAACTGTACTTTCCTCTGAGTGTACAAGTCCACTAAAATCTTGGAATGTGTGCATTGCATATTTGAGTGGTGAAAATGAAAAGTTATCCCGGGGGGAAGGTGAGAAGGCTGGGAAGGGGGGGAGCTCGAGACATTTAACGCATGTCAATGAATCGATTTAGAATTTTCTTAGCAGACACAGCTCCGACCTATTTAGTGTCGGTATAGTGGTGAGCTCACGCCTCTTATATATATTATAGAGCTGCTATGTATATATATATATTATATATATATATATTATGGATGACACTTCAGAGACGACTGTACGGAATTATCACCGTCTGTCTCCTCATATTCACGATTTCATTCAACTGTAAACTTGTTTCTTTCTTCGCCAAATCATTAAATTAGCCATGAAAAGATAATTTGTTAGGCAAAAGACTTGATTTAATCGAGAAATTATCATATTATTTGAGTTTCAGGTTGTCTTTACCGTCTTGTCCTTTGTGGGTAACTCTGTATGTAAGTCTTCCACACTTTTGTGCGCCCACAAGTTGCATATTTAATAATACAATTTTGCGTCCTCAATGTGCAATGTTTATCCTCAAAATACTTTCTCTTAGAGTTTTTATGTTCATCCCATGCTATAGTACCTTATCATTATAGTGCGCCACAGAATATTTTCTGCCAGATAATATGTGTACTGTACTGCCAGATAATATGTGTACTGTACTGCCAGATAATATGTGTACTGTACTGCCAGATAATATGTGTACTGTACTGCCAGATAATATGTGTACTACTGTCCCCTTATTTCAAGTGAAGTGAATTTTTAAATGTGCACTAAAGACAAGGGAATAGGTACGTTTTATCAGAAATATATTCCAAGATATTTTAAATTCGGAATTTAAATAAACATACCCTACGTACTGCATGTAAATAATTACCGTAATGAGTGACCCCTTGGATAGAAATCAGTAGAGGGGTTCAAATTCCCTGTTTACAATTAAACATTACCATGTGATCTATCGAGGTTTTATCGAGGCCAGGTACAAACAAATTTAAATATTTTAATTATTTGTTTACCAAAAAATACCTACTTTTTAAATTATTTATTTACCAAAGAATACGTACTGCACTGTCAACAACAAAACCATCGAATTCAGGATAGCTGTATTCTCAATAAAACTATCCTGATACATCTGCATTGCCTTCTGTTTAAACGAATTTGGAATACCCTGGAAGGCACGACAGTTAGATCAAAATGCAGAACGAAGGACAAATTTGTCACACTCAGAAGATGTATTGTTTAATTTATTTATGTTGCAATTAACTCACTATCTAATATCATATTATGGAATTGAGTTTTTGCTACAAACTAAGATTTTTTAATTCCTATATCTATGCAACCCAATGTCGTAGACCTTTTACAATTTAAACTATGATTTCTTTTCGATAAACTAATCTAATTTTGAATTATCAAAGGTTTACACGGACAGGTTTCAAAGAAATAAGAATGAAAAAATATGAGTTTGTGGCAAAAATTCAACTCCTTTGTCTATCTAGAACAGATTTTTTTCTACAGTTTCTAAAGTTTCAGGATTATTGAAACATTAAATTCCATATTTTCATATCAACGCAATTATACTAGTTCTAGTATGTAAAATTAATGTCAAAGACTACATTTTTTTCCAAAGCTGTATTTTCTTTTTAGTTTAAATTCTGAAAATCTAATCATGTTAACCATTTTATGTCACAATATCACGTGACATGAATAGATCGGAAATTACAGCAAATATCTTATCAAAACTAAATATATCACGCTAGAAAAACATATTATTTGTATAGACTTAAAACCTTGTAATTACTAAGTAATGAAAACATCCTGCAGGAAATAAAGTGATTATTAAACAATAATATCCGGTATCAGAAACAATGTTTCCTAAATCTTATCAAAGAACTGAAAAGTACAAAGCCTAAATCCAAATAGTATAAATAACTTTGTTATCATCTATATGTTGGATTTTTATTTTGTTTTCTTTCATCAAAAGGAACAGTGACAATTTGGATTATCAAAAAAATCGAAAGTATGAAAATGTTATCCACAAAGGATAAGACTGTAAAGACGACATAAAACCCTTAAATATGACAATTTCAAGTTTTCTTTCTTGAATAAAGTCTATTAATATCTTTTAAAATGTTTTAGCAAAGAAAAACTAATTTTACCGTTGCAGGGAATTTTTAATTTAAGGAAACAGACAGTGTAAATTCTGTACTGTAGTCTCATCTTTTGTGGGTACCCCTGTATCTTAGACCACATTTTTAAATCCTGCAATTTTTGGCCGTGAATGTTTGTATAGAAATAACTATAAAACTAAAATAATAAAGTTTATAACTAAATTGTGAGTAGATGAAAGAGGCTTTTGTCCTTATAGTACAGTGGTTTCACGGTGCTCACAAGTACAGTACAGTACAGTACAGTACAGTACAGTACAGTGGTTTCACGGTGCTCACAAGCAAACTGGAAAACTGGATGAGATTTTGCCAATTACTTCTAAAAAATCAAAAACTAACAAGTGCGATATATAGTCCTAAAATAAGCATAAGAGGTTATAGCAGTTAAATCTATGCCTAAGGCGTAGCGACACTTTAAAGTCGACCCTGTCTTAAAAATGAGACTGTATATAAGCAGGGTGAATCTATGTGAGCTGAGCAATGTATGTCTGTATAATGTATACGTAGATATCTTCAGCAAATATACTGAAAGATCGTGCCTAGACTCAATTCAAAACGGTTTGGATGCCAAGGACGCATCATTTTATTGAAGAGTTGTGAGTAAGGAGGGATTTGGAGGAGGGGGGGGGGTAGGATGTTTAAATCTGACATTTTATGGGGTGTTTGTTCATATCTTTAAATACCCGCGGTGTTATATACACAGAACTTGATTTTTCTGACGAAATCCTGTTCATAGCCTTCAAAATATAATTGGTTAAAATATAAAGTAATCATTTTAAATTCTAAATTCTGCCAATAATAGAACGTGATAATTAGTTAAGGGTTGATATTTTGAAACCATCTGTACACAAAACCATTCCCGACTTCAGATACTTACACAACAAAATATTTAATTTGCTTCGTGCCAAAGATCCCTTGCTGTTGATAAACAAACTAATATACAGTGAGAACCACAAAACTCTGGAATAGGAAGACGACTTTTAGACTTAAGTTGCAACTTAAAATGTCCAAAGAGCATTAGACAACGTAATTGTGC